TTCGGAGGCTGTCAGCACGTCAAGAAAACTCTTGTGGTGTTTGGCATGCGGAGCAGACGCTTCAGGTTTAATACCCACGAAAGAACGACAGCTTACCAGGACCCTCCAAGTACCTTCAAATAGGGGTTCGTGGTCCCAAATTAGAGGCATTTAGGGTCTTTAGAGGGTAGATGGAGGGTCTAAACCCTAAACCCTAAACCCCAAACTCTAAACCCAAGAACGAACGACAGCTTAATGCTGCAAACCCGGGCTTCGGGAGCAGCCACGCTGGAAGGGACTCGCAAGCTCGGCTTGAAGTACATTCCGTGTGTAGATCCCAGAGCTGCCAAATGAATCAGCAATGCCTTCAAACCCTAAACCCTAAGCCTAAAACCCTAAACCCCTAAACCCCTAAACCCTAAACCCCAAGCTAATGAGCAACCTCTTCGACAAAATGTGTGACTGTACTCCTCCACTGCGCAGTCTGAGAGCAGCCTTTTAGGGCTTAGGGTTTAGGGTTTTAGGGTTTAGGGTTTAGGGTTTAGGGCTGTTTAAAAAGGCATGTGGATAACGCTTAGCCGTAGCTCAGAAAGCCAGCCAGGACCGCCGGCTGAAGAAGAGCCTTCAACTGAGTTTCGTTCTTTGCTTATAGGTTTAAGGGTTTAGGGTTTAGGGGTTTAGGGTTTAGGGTTTTGCTTAGAGGTCGTTGGGTTTCGGGTCCCTCCGGCGTGGCAGTCTGTTCAGGTTTACAGGCTTCGGGTGTGGGATTTTGGCAACTTCTTGAAGCGGGGACTGCCTCCGTGGCCGAAAATCAACATCGCCGCCGAAGCTTAACATGAACTGATATCGGGTCAAGAAACTCCTTATACAAACAAAGCCCGGCCTGCAATCAGTCCCGTCCACAATCGCGCTAGAGTCCCTGAACACATAACTTCAACTTCGTGTCTGTTTTAAGCACGAGATGACTGGATAAGAAAACCCAACAGTTAAGACCACGCAACAAAGCACCCTGCTGCCGGACCTCGTGTGGGTGGGTGGGATATAGATAGATAGATAGATAGACAGATAGATAGACAGGTAGATATACACACGCTCTGTAATACTTGCAAAGCCCTTGCAACACCCGAAAAAAGGCATGAAAGGCTTTAGATTTAGCTTACTTCCCCAATAAGCCAGGGACAAGAAAAGGTTAAATTTTCAGATTACTACTAAATTATAAGAACCCTATACCCTAAACCCTAAAACCCCCCAAACCCCAAAAACCCTAAACCCGAAAACCCTAAAACCCCAAAACCCTAAAACCCTAAAACCCTGAACCCTAAACTGACGGTTTTAAAGGTTGGGAGTATTGGAGAACTAGATTAGCCTCCAGATGCCTGAGCAGTTAGATAGGGATCCTTTGGGGATTCCTTTTCAGGGTTTTAGGGTGTAGGGGTTCAGGGTTTCAGAGTTTTAGGGGTTCAGGGTTTCAGGGTTTTAGGGCTTAGGGTTTTAGGATTTGAGGGGATCAGGCTTTTAGGATTTCGGGATTTAGGGCTGTAAGGTTTCAGGGTGTTACGGTTTAGGAGGGTGGTGTTGCAAGGAACATAGGCGTAACAAGGAGCTCTAGGGAATGACACTGGTATGATTCAGGACCCTCCAAGTACCCTCAAATAGGGGTATATGTTCCCAAATTAAAGGTATTTAGCGCCTAATAGAGGGTAGGTGGAGGGTCTTAATTTCTCAGTTCAGGCTTTCAATGAGGACGTAGAGTCAGATTGCGTAGTTCACGGTAGTTGGGGGAGAAGGCTTCATGCATGGAGCGAATTCGCTGCGAACATTCTTTGGGGACTCAGGGTGGGGGCCTCTAAGTGAAGGGTTTAGGGTTTAGGGGTTAGGGGTTTGGGGTTGAACTGTTGTTCAAAGGGTTCAGGGTTTAGGGATTTGGGCGTTCAGGGTTTAGATGTTTTGGGTTTAGGATGGGTTTAGGGCTTGTATAGGGTCAACTACAGAACTGTCCTGGACAAAGCAGCCCTATGCTTATGTACCTGTACAGCAGAAACATTGGCCTTTAAAGTAGTCTGTATTATATAGTCACTTTCCGGCAAAGTCTCTACTATACGTGCCAATGGACTCTTACGGGAATTGTCCGCACCAAAACGTTCTTATGTAGCCCGACTATACAAGTGCCTGCCCACTTTTCCAAGCTCGGGCACTGCAAGGATCTGTTATTTGGCAAAGAGCTGCTGCAGTGATCTCTCGGGGCTGCCATCGGTATCTTACTGAATGCCCACCTCTGCAATCTACAAATCTACAAGCCCCAGGTGGCCCTCAACCTTAAACCCCAAACCCAAACCCTGGACTGTTCAACTCCGTATGAAAAGAAGCGGGAAAACTGACGAAGCAATAGAAGGGCAAACCTTCCCCATGGGCAGTTGGGTTTAGGGCTTAGAGTTAATTGATTCTGGCGAAGCCTGTGCAATTCCACGCTTCATACGCCACCCTATCCCTAAGGGTCCATGCACCCAAATAGTACATACTTTGGCCCCAATGTACCTATATAGGGAATGCTTTAAGGCCAATGTATATACTATATGAGTACATGGACCCTTAGGGTATATAGTTCGGGACGCAAAAGCGGCCTTACTTTCGGCAACCTGCCTCAGCAAGGCCCAGGCCCGACTCAACTCTTACGTCCTCTGACTAGACCCTCCATCTACCCTCTACTCGACCCTAAGTACCCATTCTTTCGGTTTTTAAAGATTTTTAGAGTTTAGGGTTTTAGGGTTTAGTTGCGAGAATCTACCCCTTTTTGAGGGTACAAGGAGGGTCCTGGTACCCCAAACCTGCCCCTCAAGACTGAAACCCAAATCCCAATATTACAATGAAGCCAAGGAGGCGACGCCCTGCCATGTTGCAAGGAATAGACGCAACAAATCTACAACTGAAGCCGGGGTTGCGAGCTTTAGGTTTAGGGCTGGGGGTTTGGGGTCGAGGGTTTAGGGTTTAGGGAAACGATCGCTGAACTGCATTGCTCTTCATCACCCCTCCTTGGGAAATCGGTTGCAACATGTTGCAACTCAGAAACACTGCGTCATTTCCAGACGTTCGTCTCTGGAAGAGCCAGTTGACTTCCGCAGATTACAGTTCAGCGTGCTGGTTTCGGGCGTAGGCTATGCATCAACCTACAGCAGAATGTAGGGGAAAGCACAAATGGAGCCCTCCAGTTGTCGCGTTGCCGTCTAATCTGGTAAACAAGCCAAACGGGACATGGAATAAAACGACCGACCGACCATACTATCAGGCGCGGGCTCGGGTCCGCTGGTTTCCCAACTACTCACTGTCCGAAAGCCCGACTTCTCGGAGACCTACACGAAAAAGTAGGACACCCCAGCTCATCACACACCGTGGAAGTCAAGTCGTGGTTGAAAATGCATGCAGGTGAATTAGGGATCCCCCACCACTTGGCTTTTGTGGTTGCATTCTCTTGAAGTGAAGAGTTGCGGGTTTACAGTTTGATCCGACTCTCAACTTTGGTTCTATAGAACCAATGAATACGGCCAACTTTGAGGATAGTGGGGGATACCTTGCACTTGCACGGCAGAGAGGAAAGAGCACCGCGCAAGTTGTCCATCACGTCGACTCGAAGCGTAACTACACTGTGAGGACTCAGGAAGAGTGTGAGCAGACGGCTGATGGTTGGAGGTCAGCACATGCTATGCTGCTAGTTAGTGGTTGTTGTTCTGCTTCTTATTGCTGCTGCTGCTGCCGCTGCCTCTGGTGCGGCGCCCCGTCCACCTACCGCCCCGATTACGCCTGCAAAACTAGACTACAACTAGATAGCGACTGCAGCTTTTACGCTTGCTGCTGGCCCTTCTGCTCCTGCTGCTGCAACTACTACCACCACTACTACCACTACAAACTACTGCTACTGCGACTGCCACTGCCACACTGCCACTGGCACACTGCCACTGCCACTGGCCACTTCCCCTGCCCACTGCTCCTGCTCCTGGTACTGCTGCTGCTACTGCTACTGCTACTGCTACTGCTACTGCTACTGCTGCTGCTACCGCTACTGCTACTACGGCTACTGCCGCTGCTGCTGCATACGGCTGCTGCTACTACTACTACTGCTGCTGTTGCTACGACGACGACTACTGCTGCTGAAGTGTTGCCTACCACTACCACCACCACCACCACCGCCAGCCAGCAACACGACGACTTGCACTACTTACTGCTGCTACTGCGATTGCTACTGCTACCGCCACCACCATACCGTGGTCGTCCTGTACTGCTGTCTCCTTTCCTGGGAGTACCGCCACTACGGGAATTACTGCTTCTTGAGATGGCAGTTGGTTTCATACTGCTGCAGCTAAGGTGGCAGCCGTACAGCTGAGGCATTGCAGATATCGCAAGTGTTGCTCTATGGTCGCCTTGTTGCGACCAGCACGGGCATCATTGCTGCTACTCTTACTCTGAACAGAAAGCCGAACTACCTTAGCACGTCCACACCCCAAATTACCATATATGGCGTGGAGCAATGCTGGCATGAAAGATGTCGGAATAGTCAGCCATCCGCTCAACAAAAACAATCTGTGTGCTGCAGTCGGAAGGTCGCACTTCTGAGCTTGGAGATGACTCGGTCAAGGGTTAGGGTTTAGGGTTTGGGGTTTTCTGTCTGTAGAAGCAGCAATGAAGCGCTAGTTAGTTGCATGGGGTACTTCTCATCCGCCGGCCATAGCCCCAAGCCCCATCTATACTGCCTGCGGCACGCTTGCAAAGATTGTGTCGAGGGAAACGAGCTCAGATGTTATCGGATCGCGCTTGTTCACTGCATCTCCTTGGCCGCAGCTACAAACTTCCAAATCAATAACCCCGAAGGCCACGAACTCTGGATCATGTTGACAGACTTATACGGATTGACAGAATTCTAGCTAGTCGTATAACTAGGGCTTGACACATCACTTCTAAGAATCATCTCCGAAAGGCAAGATTTTCCGCACTTATGGATTATGGGCTGAGGACCTTGGCAGACAAGACTCGCAACTGTTCCGCACGCACACGAAAAGCCGGCTGATGGGCTTCATCTGGCATGGCATTCGATATTTTTACCAACTCGTCAACGTAGTGGTTTGCAAACTCTTTCACCTCAACACTGGTCCCAGAGAGCAAAATCATGGTTGTTGTCATAGCGAATGCATCATGCAGGCATCCGAGTGTGCGGAAGGTAGTCATGGCCTCCCGCCATAGATCAGCAGCGAACTGCAGGACTGGATCTCTTTCACTTGCTTCTGCCCGTGCCATTGAAAAGTCGAAAGGCAAGAGTGACAGTGCCTCCCGGAAGCCACTGCTGACAGCGTGAGCTAGGAAAGAGATCAGGACCTGAAGCATTTCGGCCCAAATTAGACTGTCCACCTTGTGTGGATTCGCCGAGCAGCACATCAAGCATCTTGAAAACCTTGTCGCCAAGCTTTGGAAATCTTCGAGGCTGCTGGCAGAACCCAAGCATTCAGAGCTGTACCAGCCGGAATAAATGTCAGCGAGCATGCGAACACTGCAGAAGTTGCTCGTGTTTGCCTTCAGCATCCATGCATCAGATGCAGAAGGCCCATCAACAGGTCTCGAAGAAGCAAACCGCCTGCGAGCAGAATTTGACCAGGCGTCTGCCATCAAGCCAAACAGCTCCAGAGTCTCTTCGCTGACAGCCACCAAAGAGTGGCTACGGCCATCAATGAAAAATCTGTCAAGCTCCTCTGGGTCTGCTATTCGCCGCAACATGTCTTCTCTGAGGCCCATCAGTCCAGAGTCACTTGAGAATATCAGCATACCCACAACAGGGACTCGCATAGGAAGTCCCAGGTCATGAGGGAAGCTGTCGACAGAAATGCAGCTCACCTCTGGGGAGGGAACCTCCGAACCTGTTTGTGAGCCACTCGAGGAAGAAGTCTCTCCTTAGCTGCCGAGTTCATAAGCCCCAAGAAAGTGCATACCTTCAGCTCTTTAAGGGAGAACCCCTAGGGGTTCGTGTGCCCAAATAGTATATACTTTGGCCTTTTAGTAGTCCCTAGAAAGGTACGTCGGGGCTAAAGTATATACTATCTGGGCACATGGACCCTTAGGGAATCATATTACCCCAAAAGGTGTAGAATGTACTCACTCAGCTGCTAAGTCTCTGTCTGGACAAACCAGGCGACGACCCAGCAGTTCTGCAGCAGCTCGCATGCTACAGAGTCTGTCACGGAGTTGCAGCAGTACCGCTCCTTCCTCCAAGTCAGCTGACTGCACAAAATGGCTTAATTGGCTTGCCTCGGAAAAGACGTACGTGAACAGCTCATCCGTCTCCGCGAACGTCGGAACATCTGCGTGCAAACCATTCGGAGGCAGGGGAGCCTGCAGGCTGAGAAGCAATGAGCTCAAAGCATGGAAGCAAAAGCGAGATGTTTCATAGCTCTGACTCCTGTGCGCAATCATATCCTGCACTTCTGTGAGGGTTCGAAACACCTCTCCACGCAGAGCGGCTCCAGTCATAGATGCGGCGATGAAGTGGCGAAGCGCAAGGAGAACTGCTTGAGGGGTTTGCGCTCTAGTTTGTGAGACTTATAAGGGTTTAAGACATAAGGTTTACAGGGATGGAGTAACTGTAAAAAGTGCCTTCGGGCATTGAAGAATGCTCGAACCTTGCGATCTGAGCGAAAGAAGACGACTTTTTCCGGATCCTAGTCACTCTCCCTGCATTAGCCAACCCCATGTCCAATTCTCCTGTAGAAACCAAGATTAACGCTCTTCCATTGGCTGCGGCTACACTTTATGGGTAATTCAAACTAAGTGCCGCAGTGAGCATCCCACATCCTCGCCCTACACGCTTGGTAGGGGGCCACTATAGGCATACAGCCCCTATAAAATTCCTAGGACAATGAAACAAAGTGCTCCTAATTTCAAGACACTACATCTACGATTGTTTGTGCATGTCCGAAACCTTCACCAAATTTTCGCATGGCAACTGCTCCTTGCTGCTTCAGTTCGAGGAAGAAGGACGTCCATATGCACCAACAGCCCACCCTAAACCGTATACACGCTAAACTCCCCTCAACCCTAGACCCGAAACTCCAAACAACCAAGCTCCCCATTAAACACTCGCAGCCCCACCCACCAGCCTGCACCCTACTATGTAAACACCCGTGGGAGCTCAAGACGAGAGTGGTACGTGCGGTACATCCCAGGGTTTTGGCCGAATCATCAATGATAGAATATCGCACAGCGCCGCTGCTCCCTCAACCACCACGACGACATGCACCCTGAAAGGGTTCAAGGTGCAATTACCGTACAAAATAGGGCTTCATAGTACGAGGAGATGGAAACACTACTCCTGAAATTGAAGAAACCCTAAACCCCCAAACCCTAACCCCTCAACCCTAAACCCCTAAACCCTAAACCCCAAACCCCCAAACCTTAAACCCCTAAACCCTAAACCCTAACCCTGCCTGTGTTGCGCACCGCGGTCGATGCGGAGAAGACATCATCAGCGGCGCCTGAGGGTTCATTCAGGTTCTGAGGCTTTGGGCGTAACATAGGGGCCTTACTACTTAGGGTTTAGGGTATAGGGTTTAAATTAAAGGGCCGTACTTCTTAGAGCAAGGTCTTGGAGTATATGACTATGAAGTCATAGAGAGGACTATAAGGAATGCTGCTTTCGACCTCTGTATTACATGAACAATCCACGACTATAGCCGAAGAAGCCCGTGATCATGTATGAGGCCAGCCCCCTGCTCAGGGTATATTGCGTGCTCAGAAACCCTAAACCCTGAACCCTAAACCCCTAAACCCTAAACCCCCGAACCCTAAACCCCTAAACCCTAAACCCGTAAATCCTAAATCCCTAAACCCCCCAACCCCTAAAGCCCTAAACCCTAAACCCGCAAACCCCAAACCCTAAAGGTTCGGGCTCTCTAGAAACTTTACGATACAGTTCCAGGTACCGGCGCATGGGTGTGTTTCCTCCGAAAACTTACCGCGTTTAGGTTTTTTGTTGCTTTTTGTTTTTTTTGGGGGGGGTTCGGGATTTAGGGTTTGGGGATTCATCCTTGTCTGTTCAGGGTTTAGAGTTTAGAGTTTAGGGATCTCTCCTTCTTATGCGAACAAACAGTTTAGGGAGGCATGGTGAGCGTGCTTGGGACAATCGTGGTCGGTTCAGGGCCCTAAACCCTAATCCCTAAACCCTAAACCGTAGGCAGCGATAAAGGACCCCAAGGACACGTGCGCCGCGGCATGTGCCTCTGCAGGGTGCGTATGTGCATCGCACGTGCATCTGCGATGTTGATACCGTCAGAGCTCAGGCTGATGGACTTAACGATGAAGCTATGTTGAACCTAATCAACTGTATGATCATGACTGAAAGAGGTTTTTTCCGGGGGTTGAGCATCAAAGGGACGTCACACTGTGTCCACCTGTTGGACCCGAAGCAGGAGATGCAGCCGTCGACAGTCACCGCACAAGTATGCGCAAGACCCACCACAACGGCCACGACGGCGCCTAAGTCGTCGGGTACGTCGCACTGTCCTGCGTCATTCCGTCCAAAGCAGATAAGCTGGCCATCCGCACGAATTGCACACGTGTGGCTTGTACCGGCAGCGACATCCACAAATGGCCCGGGATCGTCGGGGATATTGCACTGGCCGTACTGATTTTTTCCAAAGCACGTCAGAGAACCATCGGTGCCTAGAGTACAGGTGTAGTCATGCCCAGCTGAAACGGCGAGGATGAGCTCCAAACCTGCCGGTATCGGAACTTGCCCACCATGTGCGCCAAAGCAGAAGAAACTCCCATCATGTCGGACTGCACACGTGTGCTTCGCACCCGCAGAGACATGTACGACCGGCTCAGCATCTTCAGGAACTTGAGAAAATCGCCGGGATCCAAAGCAGACTAGCTCGCCGACTAGTGTTACGGCACACGTGTGCGAGTCGCCAGTCGCAACTGCAGTTACAGGGCCTAAATCTTCTGGGACATCGCACTGCCCATCCTTGTTCCAGCCGAAGCACCAGAGTTGTCCGTCATCCTCCACAGTCTGATTCTTGGGTCGGGGGTGTGCAGGGTGTTTCGGACTTGAGGGAGATTACGGATCCCAGGCTTAAAGGTTTAATGTGGATTTGGGGCCTAGGGGTTTTTGGGACGTTTTAGGGTTTAGGGTTTTAGGATGTTTTAGGGTTTAGAGGGTTTTAGGACGTTTTAGGGTTTAGGGTTTAGGGTTTTAGGATGTGTTAGGGTTTAGGGTTTTAGGATGTTTTCGGGCCATTTTAGGGTTTAGGGTTTGGGGATTGAGGCTTTCGGGTCCTGGATGGCACAGCTGTGGCGACTTCCGGTCGACACGGCCACCACCGGAGGCAGCTCTGCCGGGATGTCGCGAGCACCTTAAGGACGAAATGACCCTTAAAAGTAGGGGCCCTATACCCTTATACTATGAATCCCTATATGGTATGTGATTCTTAGAACCTTAAAGGGTTCATTTCGTCCTTATGGCACTCGACTTTCGAGCACCGAACCGCACCAGTCGCCCACTTGCTGCCACCGCATACCTGTTCTTTGGAGCATAGGAGCTCAGAATTGGGCTTCCGGGTTTGGGCTTTAAAGTTCAGGCTATAGGACCTACAACAATACATGTTTCAATCACCTGTTGGAAAGTAGGAGCTTAGATTTACAAGCGGCTTTAAGGTTCGGGGCTTGGGGCTTACAGGGCGTCTACAGTCATAGTCTATTTTGCTTCAATCCAAAATCCGGCTATGCTGGTATGATTCCTCAGGCCGCTGTGGTAAAGCTGCTACACTTGTGCGCAGTCTTTTCCTGTGGTTCGTTCGGTCATAGAACTATATTGACTGTCGACAAAGCCGTCCTCCGAATAAGCGTCCAAAAAAAGTGTTGTGGCAAAATTCATTACTCGTGCCGCGAAGTACGTGTGGTGGTCACTCGCCGACAGATCAAGCACTGCGGCATCGATGTCCCTGGGAATGGTCTGCAACAAAAGCGTCAGGCCTTGCAACAGCGCGTGCCCACCCGCAGGAGTGACAGCCCGCCTGGCCGCGCAAAACGAAACCCTCCCTCCGAACCCAAAAGAACCCAAAAGTGCTTTGCAGTTCTGCACGCCGTCCGTGTTGTCTGCGCTACTGTGGGGAGACTTCTACCAGGGCCCGAAAAGACTCTTCGTAGAGTCCGGGGTTTGGGGTTTAAGTTCATAGAGGCCTGATAATCGCTAAAATTCCATACTCTGCAATTCTTAAACCTAACCAACCCCCACCCGAAAACATCAGCCCTCAACCTACGTAAAGGTCTATGAACCCTTAAACCCATTCAGCAAAAACCAACTAAACGCCCTGAAAAGGCACTGCAGGACCCTGAAATCTCAGCTTGATACAAAGCCTAAACAAGCTAAACTTAGTTGCTGAGTTCATAAACACCAACAAGTGTACGCTTTCAGTTCTATAAGGGATCATATGATCCCAAAAAGTCTAAAGTGTAGTAATTCAGCTACTAAATAAACACCCCCTCTCCCCACACTCCTAAACGGTTGAGGGTTCAGGGTTTAGGGCTTAGGGCTCAGAGTCCCTAAACACCCCCTCTCCCCACACTCCACTTCGACGGCACCCTAAACCCTAAACCCTAAACCCCAACCCCTCAACCCTAAACCGTAAACCCTAAACCCTAGGTCCCTAAACGCCTCGGAGGGCCCGACAGGCGGGGGGTCCCCCGACTCTTGCCCGCCAGCCCACGGAGCTGGAGGCCGTTCATGGCTGGAGCTTCTCTTTTTGAAACAGCCGTGGATTTCTTCAGTGTTTGTATGTTTTTTGCTTTTGAAGGGGGAGGGGGTAGGGCTTAGAGTTTAGAGGGTTTAGAGCTTAGAGTTGAGGGTTT